GGATGGTACAATGTGAGAACACACATCCAGAGCCCTCTGTGGTCCCCACGATCGGCAACACTGCTTGTCAGGTGATGGAGACAGGATGGTCCATGCAAATGAGCAGACTCAAGTCACATTGTGCAACCAAGACACGATTCCAGACATCTTCAGAATGGATTAGAGTCACGAGAAATGAAGGTTCAATGGAGTGACTGATAATTAGTTGGAAGCACAGTATTTTAAGTAAATCTCCCTGAACATATGCTTATTTATTGAATATACTGGCCAACAACATCCACTAACTGTCCTTTTATTGCCACAGGAAAGTAGGACAATATAGTAGATGAAAGGAGAAGCGCTACCTTAGGTAACCTTTCGAAGCCAAGATAAAAATCTTCAGCTACCCAAATGGCATTTCTTGCTACTGGCAGATCATGCAGTTTTACCATATTTGTGGAGCCTATGGTTAATGCTACATTTATTTCCAGTATGTGGTAAACAGTATTTGAATTTATACTATGTAGCCGATTGATGCCATCTGGTTTACAAGATGGAAGGGATGGGAGACCGAGAGCGCCTTAGAGGACAAGGTGAGCTGTAGGGTGATGTTACTGGAGACAGTCGCAGAGCATTGCCTGTCAAGCCAGCTATGTTGTTTAAGCTTCGAGATTTTTCATAGCCTTGTATGAGAAAATGCACAGACATCAGTTGAATTCAGCCAAAAAATAGACAAAGACAAACAATACAATGTAATGTAATCCAAGGAGCTATCTGGGATTCAGAGAGAATCTGCCTGTGAAAGAACTCAGTGCTGAGACACTGCTAGTAAAAGATAGAAATAAATAAAATTATTTACAAATTAATGCAGTTACTCTTCACCATAAAATTAAACAGACACAGAGGTCTGACCTGCTCTTCCATATCCTATCTTGCACTCAATGCTCCTCTGTTGGCTTCAGCAGGGTTGCACTGAGTACAAGATAAAGGATCCCAACAGGGTTACTGGGTGAGCTATCTGGCCAAGAATAATAATAATTAAAAAATTAAGACAGACTATAAAAACTGTTAGAAATATATAATCTCTGTTAAACTCAGCTCCTAATAAAGGATTCTTTTTCTGTAAATAAATAAAATCAGATAAATTGCATACAGTATGTGTAAATCACTTCTGCAGAGGACTGAATTATAATATGGGAAAGAAGCTCCATCTTCAGAAATATTAACCCTAAGACTTTGTGTCTAATATTAAAGTATAATAAGATACCAGACTTTGCCATATTTGCAAATGCTTCCTGATTGGAAAATTTGAAACACCACATTTGTGCTCCTTCTCCAGCTGGCTCAAATAAAAGAAATTGTATTAATCCACATTAGCAAGTAGTAAATAATGAATTATTAAATGAGGCAACCACATAATGCTTCTCAATTTGGAGGGAATATTGCACTTCCAGACATCTCTGTTCACATTCCCTGTGAGCTCTAGCTACATGCTTTTTGCTACATACAGATTCTTTTCACATTATAGTTACTCTGTAAAATGACAGAAAAGCACTGCTATTCACTGCATCCCTGTCTTCAAACTCAAGTATTTTTAATGGCACCTGAATAAGCCCACTTATGAAGACAAGGATCAGCCCATCAGTCTGGAGAGAGATATCAGAAAGGTAATATAATGAAGATGAAGCTGGACAGGATCTTGCTCCTGGTGTACACAGACACATGCCTCACTGCAAGCATAAGAAGTCCTATCGATTTCAGTGGCATTATCTATTTTCTTGAAGACAAGTTTGTGCCTAAGAATTTGTCAGGCTAAGACATTCAGGTATAAATTGCTTAGAGGGAAATAGTGAGACTTTCCCCACAGAAACTATAAAATGTCAACGACAATAAAGCTAAACATTACACAGGATGTCACCAGACATTTTTTTTCTTATAGAAACAGTTACTGGCTTAAATTCCAGATTTCCAGACAACAGACAGCTGACAGTTTTTAGCATCATCATAAAAAAAAAATAAATACTTCAGGTTGTTCCCTAAAAAACAATTAACATTTTTCTTACCTATTGAGAATTGCATACGGTAAAACTACACTTAAAACAAATAGAGAAGTTCATATCTGCTAAAACTTTGTACAATGTTACCTCCAGATTGCAGGGGCAGGCTAGACTATGATGCTTCACAGACTTCTGGTACATTTTAAAAACAGCCTCCAGTTTCTGAATTTCGATCAGTATTTGCACAGATTAAAAAGAATCTTGTTTGAAAGGGGAATAAAAAGGAAGCACAGTGCTAGTGTATATAGTTAACCTCCCTTGTAAACATAAACCTTAGGAAAAAAAAATCAAAATAATCAAGTAGCTTTTTTTATTTACACAGAAACAAGGAAACTCTTCTAAAAATCTTTTCCTGCTACTTTTCTAATGATGAAAGCAAAGAACTAATAGAGAAAGATGGTAAAGGTGATAAAGAAAGCAGAAACTCCTAAAAAATTAAAACCAGAGATAAAAGATTAATGGAGAGGCATGATCCAAAATTGGTGCTTTCCAGGTATTTCAGTGGGGCTTGGATCAGCTCTAAATGAATATCATCTTAGAGATGGAGATAAAGTGCTACTGCAAAAAAGCTCAGAATAAATGATCATTGAACACAACCAAGAACCAACCAAGGAATGAACCAAACAAGAAGGATGTACCAAAAGAAAGAAAGGGGGGGGGGGGGGGGGAAAGTAGTAATAGTCTTGGTGTATGAATTAAATTCAAATATTCAAACTTGAAGATGTTTTTTGTTTGTGAGCTAACTTCCCTAAACTTTATAAAATAAACTTTAAAGTTAGTGGCTAAAATATTTTAGCCTAGACTATGCCTTCCATCAGAGCAATGTCAAAGCATGCATTTCTCATTCAGAAACTGACAGAATCCAAGTCCCATTTTTCTATGAAAAACTATGGAGCAATTTTCTCTTGAATCTAGATTTTAAAATGAAAATGTTCACATAGTCTCAGAATAAATTGTTTTATTGTTTATGAACATGTCTGTAGTGGTTAATGGATAACTTATTTTGTTCTTTCTGATCTTTTCTAACTATGGTTACTGCCAAGTGAACTGCACTCAAATGTTTATGCTAACATTTCTAAAAGTGAAGAACTTCATTCTAAAAGATGTCATGGCGATCTGCCTTATTTTGGTGTTCCTGACATCCTCAAAATGTTAGATCCTTAGCATTAGAAATATTGTAAATAATCCTAGTTGTTGAGAAGACAGTGAGAAATACACACTCGGTGGAAAGCACCCTCATCTGTGCAAAAACATGTTTGCAATGAAGTCCCATTTAACCTAAACATTATATATAGGAAAATGTAAAACATGAGAGCATAGAAACAATCATATTCTTTAGAATGACCAATACACGTGGAACTCTGGTTGCATATCTGCCTTCACAGGTTCAACCTACTGAGCTCATGGTTTTGAAATGTAAAAACCATTTGCAGAAAAACACGAGAGAAGTCCTTTAGTGTCTACGGCTGGCTGGGACAGCCATGTTTGCTGTACACAAAGCAAGTTTTAAAAAAAAAGGAAAAAAAAATGAAAATAAACCCAACCAAACAAAAAAAACACCAAAAAACAAAAAGGAGCAGAAAAATCTCATCCAAAAATGTCTGTCCATTACCACATGTCTACTGCAGATGAACTCTGAGGTGAACAACTGCACATCAGCACTCAGGAATGTGAAAACTTGGAATGATATATTTTACCCAGAAATCAAAGCAATTCTTATATATGTAAATAGCAAGACTACCACTGGCATTGCTGGTTGTAGGTCTATGCTCTGAGCTTAGGTTTCCAGCCACAGCCAGCTGTCACCTAATGGGACAGCCCTACCATCAGTCGCCTGGGTGATGGATCTAACAACAGAAGCTTTTTGCAAACTCTGCCTGAGGAACCCAGTCCTATTGAGCAGTGAGTAATCAGATTTGAAGAGGCTGAATAACTAGAAAGGCATTTTTAGCACTTTGCAACATCAAACTACCAATTGTAGCCAAATCCTGATTGGGGTAGACAGTCACCTTTTAGCATTAGAGATGTGCTACAAAGAGGAAGCATTTTGTGGCATTATAAAATCACACTTTTCTTTGAAAGAAAACTAATCAGCATCTCGTATGATATGCTTTGTTGTGTTCAGAAAAAAAAAGAAAAAAAAGTTGCTTACTTCTGACTTTTCAACTTTTTAAGTGTAATTTATTCAGCTATAATTTCTACTAAGCTATTAAGTGCAGACCAAAGTTATTAAATAATTAATTTGTGTTTTAGAATGACAAATGGTATTGAGTCATGAGTGGTTGGATGAGTGTGGTCTTAACTGGAGGCTTTTCCATTAAAGGTAACAAACAAATGAAGATACAAGTGCAATGAGGGTCCAACATCAAGCACATTTTGTGAAGACTAAAGGAGATGAGTGTTTCTAAAAATAAAACAAGAAAAGAATGTCTAGGAATAAAGAAAAAAAAAGATACATTGTGAATAGTCTTTCCTTTAAGAGCATTGTGCACAACATTTTACTATAAGCTTGCATTTCACAAGCACATGACTGAGCAACTTTTTATGATCTAATGAAAGAAGTCCATACCTTTCCTGATCCCTCCATCAGTAGCACACGTGTAATCACCTGTTGTCAGTAGGAAACATGTTCCCCCTCTTCTGTTTTTGTCTCTGGTACTAGAGCGTCTGATGGGAGGGAGCCTTTCACCAGGTGAGAGTGGCTGCTCACTTCCTGCACTGTCTTCACCTGATAACACTGGTTAAAGCACCATGCCCATTTACAGACAATTATGAATGAGGAAATGAGACATCACAAAGAGCTTATGCTGAATGTTGGATATTCCCATCACTCAAAAATACTTACAAGGTAAATCATTAGAAGAAAACAAAATTGCAATTCACCATTATTCAGTACAAAATGGTAAAAATTACACTTTTTTCATTCATGAACAAATGATCTTTTGACTTTACTGTTCTTCTTTTAAATCTCATATAAAGTTCTACTAAACTAACATGAAATAAGAAGTGATCAATCAAGTCTCAGCTGTCTATTATGGACTTTAACTTTTCATACTGCAGTTAGCCTTGATTATTTCAAACAAGTTTTTACTATTTTGGCTATTCCTTTTGCTAAAAAAAAAAAAAAAAAAGAAAAAAAAAAAGAGGTAATGTTAGTATTTTTTTCTTAGAATAAATTGTTTAGCATATTTTATAGAAAAACCTTCCTTCAGAAAGGTTAAATTTTCAACATTTGGCACTAAAACCTGATTAATAATGCACTTAGTTTTCATTTCTATACCTATCACACTTGCACTGCTGGTTATCGTACACGCCCAACAGTGAAAGTTGCTTTTGTTCTGTGTAGTTTATTTGTCAAACAGCAAAACTCTTACCTCTCCTGATTTGGCACTCTCAAAAGACTCTCTTTTAAAACTATCTACTAGTTCAGATTCAAGCCATGCTTCAAGAAAAAAATCTCTGCTCAGTACAGCACATAACAGGCAATGGCATCTTGTTGACTTCAGCTTTACCTTTGCATTGAAACCTGAACATGTGTTTTTCTGTTCTGGTAATGAAAAGGGCTGTATTAAGCCTTGAAGTTTTGCACAGAATTCCTAGTGACTCTAATAGCATTCTCTACCAGAAATAAAGCTACATTGCATGATGTGAGCGGTGGCACAACTGGAAGTTAACACTTCAAAAGTTAACACTTTAAGTTCAAGGATTATAATACCTTGTAAATAAAGCTGCAGACACAGAGAAGTGTCTCTTTGCTCTGATCAGACTGAACCTCCTCCCTTCTGGAATACCTTTAGTAGGACTTGGTGGCATGAAAAAGCTGTTATTAGTAACACTCTAAAGATGTCCAAAAGTGGACATCAGTCAAAACACTGTAAAACTAACTATATTCCACCCTTAGCATGAGTCCTTTCAAGGGTTTCTATCCTCTCAAATATATTTAGGATGTTAAAATAACTGTGATAACTTTATCTGTGAACATTCACTCGGAGGCTGGAACTGAGCTTCTTTGAACATAAGTACTATTCAGTAACAGAGCAACAGACCAAAGATGGACTTTGTTCAGAGACAGATTTTCCAGACTCTTCTTTTTAAAAACTAAATTTCAATTACTGAACTCCACCAGTCATGGGTGTGTTCTTTTTCTTACTGCTATTTAGCAGCTTTCCAACCAGTCTAATAACCAGTATGTAATCAGACTGTGCTTGGCTTAAGAATAAATACGATCAAGAAACAAAGAAAAAAATCCTTGCTGCTAAAAAAAATTGTTTTAATGATACTGAGAGATAAAATTTACTCTTTAATTTGAAGAGATATGGAATATGGGGCAGTGGCTTAGAGGGGCAGAAGCCATCTGATATGCATTTTCACAGCAATCAGTACAAAATACTCCTTATCCATAATTTGGAATTCTAATAAATAAAGTAAAATAAATCATAAAAATCAACACTAATAACACTGATGTTACTAGGGGCTGTCGTTTTCATTTTTCTTGACAAACTTTACATCAGCTATGCTATTATCATTCAATTAATAGTAAATATCATGCAATGTCTCATCTAACACAGACAGAGGAGGGTCTTCTAGCCAGGGAAGCAGAATGCCAAATGGAAAGAAAGCTAGAAAGATAATTTCTTCTTATTTCCTTTGAGTGCTGGGCTTTTGATGTAAAGCACCTGGTCCTTTTAAATGACTGCTTCTTTGTAGGATTTTGCTTAACAGGCCACGATGTGGCACAGGCAAAGCTGACACAAGAGACAGACACTGAGGCAAAACACCATGGAATCCAACAGGGTGGGACACGGTGGCTGCTCAAATAGTCACAGTCATGCAGAAAAACAAGAAACATCCATACGACGCCACAAAACAACAGGCAAAAGAAAAGGTTGATATCATCAGCAGG